TATGGAAAAATTTCTCATAATGAAATGTAAAACTACACCAATAAGGATTAACATTATTTAAATTTGATTAACTCCAAGAAAAGTAAAATCAAATATGAACATTTCCATGATTCCTGGGGGTTGATACAACACATATAATGCTATAAATAACAAATTCATAATTCCCACAATAAATGACTCCTGTCTTTAGCATTAATCCTCCAAGCCAAACAATACTAGGGTTTAAGTAAAAAGGGGAAATATTTCGATTTCCAAATACAAATATTCCAAGTTCTTTAACTATTTTCTTCTCTTCGCCACAAAAGAAAACATAGAAATAAAAATGACAAATTAAAAACAGTAAAATACACACAGATTACATAGAATTGCATGCAGACACGGGAAAAAAAACAAAAATGAAGAGATTGTAATCGTACCTGGAAATCTGTTTAAAAAATTGTATGTAAATCACTGCACTGTAAAATAGAGTACTTTTGTCGCACGAAATTGCAGAGAGAGAAAAGTAGCTGCGATTTATCAGTCTAATTTCGTCTCGTCCCTGGATTCACTGTCCGAGTGTATCTATGGGAAGAAGTAATGGCTTCAGAAGAGAAGATTATACATATAAGAGCATCTTCAACATACTCTTTAAACATGAGATGCTCTCTATTTTAAAGAGTCAACATGTAAAATCATGCTCCAATAGACTCTTTAAATTAAGATTTTAATTTAGACTCTCTATAATTAAATGCATTCAAAAAGTTTCAATTTTCAATGTAGAAAAGCAATAAAAAATCTATAGAAAAACTAATTAAAATAAAAGATAAAGAAAAATAATAAATATTTTTTGGGAATAGTAAATTTAAGTGTTAAATATAAAGGGTTTGTTGGAGTACATCAAAATTTTAACTCTTTAAATTTATAGATACTCTCCAAATGATAGAATATGCTCTTTAAAAATAGAGAGTCTCCTGGAGATGCTCTAAGTAGTTATTTTTATTTTACCAAACAAAAACGCTTAAAGCCTTAAACTATTTGAGTAATTATGAATCTTTCATAGCGGAAATGACAGATATGGGCCTGTAGTGGCGAAAAAATCAAAATTATTCATTGGGTCCCACTGGGTTTGGCTATTTTTCAGCTTTATTGGTTGACATAACAATGAATTTTGATGATAAGTGTACTAATTTGTTTGGTTCATTATGACGAAAAACACTGGTTAAATGTATCAATAATCAATTGTTATTTTTTGTCACGTTGCAAAAGTTCAATGACTAGTTATACACATTGATAGTACAATATTCAATAAAAAAATATTGTGAAAAGTTGTCATGATTTCCATTGAGTTACATGATTTGAATCTTTCGATTGCAATCAAACAGCGCGAATGGTAATGTTGATATAACAGTGTTCGTTCGAATTAGTCGTGGGCTAGCAAAGCCATTCGATGTGAGTGAAGGATCGTGAAACGTGGTGATTTGTCATGATTCTCATTACAAGTTATGGGACTTGGATCCCATATCAAAATATGGACTTCCGTTGTGTTGTTTATATAAATTTGAACTCTTCAACTTCAATACCCAGTTTCAGAGGTATGATTCCCCCAAAATTTATAACAAAAGTATACCGTGATTAGTAAGATATTTAATTAATACCTTTCGTGGTCAAATTACTTAGTAAAAGGAGATATTTGTGAGAAGATAAATTGTTGGAAGCATATTATTTTCGCACTTGTACTTCCCCCTAGAAAGTTGCCCGACTAAGGCCTCTTCAAAGCCAGTATTATAATAAAAGATAATTACAATAAATTTTTCAATTTTAACATCTTGATAATGCATTATTATACATGTTTAATACCTGCAGAAAATTTAAATTATATAACATATTGACAATTATTCTTCTATAAGTAGACATATTAAACTCAACGCTTCCATCTAACGAGCAGTGAATTGCAAGACGAACTGAACAGAGACAAAAGAGAGACCTTGTTTCAATTGACTATTGATTGGTAATGATTTATTACTCAACTGTTATGCTTACTGAACTGGAAGCATTGCATAGCAAGGCTACGGAGTCGGTCGAATCTGTTCCAAATGTTTGGTCCTCATTTGATGCAATCTGAAGAGGTGGCTGGAACGGCTGAGGAGGAATTTGTAGACTTTCAGCTTCACTTTCGAGCAACTCGACTACCTTGCTCATTGAAGGACGATTCGCCGGATTCATCTGTATGCACCATAATGCCACTATCGTCATCTTCCTAGTAATTTTCCTTCCTTCATTCCCACATTCATCGGCATCTCCAATTTCAATGTCTTTGCCCTTATTGAAACGATCATATATCCAATCAGGGAAGTATTGGGTAGAATGTTCGGTAATTTCTACCAAGTTCTTCTTCAGACCTACCATTTCCATCAACAACATTCCAAAGCTATAAACATCTGCCTTGTACGAGACAGGCCCAATGCCTCTGTTGATCAATTCAGGAGCTACATAACCAATTGTACCTCGTGCAGCAGTGATAGTCACAATACTATTTCCGGTCGGGTAGGATTTGGCTAGCCCGAAATCAGAAACTTTTGGAATGAAGTTTTGGTCTAGAAGTATGTTGTGTGGCTTGATATCAAAATGCAGAATTCGCATATCACAGCCTCGATGCAAATACTCGATCCCTCGAGCTACTCCAAGGGCAATCGCGTGCTTTTTCTCCCACGTTAATGAATTAGTTCCTCCTTGCTGACAAGAGAGATACCTCTCAAGTGAACCATTAGGCATGAAGTCATATACCAGAGCGCACTTGGACATATCTGCACAATATCCCACAAGTCGAACTACATGGACATGATGAATTCTTCCAATAGTAGCAACTTCGTTGATGAAATCTTGTCCATTTCCATTGGTTTTGCCCAGTATTTTCACTGCTACATCCCTTCCACTTCGAAGCTTTCCTTTGTAAACAGAACCATAACCTCCTTCACCCAATTTTTCCCGGAAACCTTTGGTCATTTTCTTTATGTCTGAATATGAGTACCTGATGGGCATGAGGTTATTATGACTTTGTAGAAACCTTTCAATCGCATCAAACATCGACAAGTGCCTTCTTCTAAATTTATAGATTAGTAATCCGAACAAAAAAGGCACTCCAATCAAGATCCTCAGTGCTGTTCACATAGATTACGAGAAGAATAATGAAAAAAAATAATTAGCAAAGATATAATAATCCTTTAGGAATTCTTTTCTTTGTCCAGCATATTAGCAACATGACAGCAATGAAAAGATATATATTGAAATGAAAAGAACTTACGTATGACAAACACAACAAGATACCGCAAAACGTCGAAGATCCCTGAAAGTAAATCATTAATATAGTAAGACCAAGGAAAAAAAAAAGATGTGAAATGGCTTTAAAACTATGGCTATTTATGGATTGTATTAGTTTTCTTGTAACTATAACAATAATACAACATTGCATTTAGAAGATTATATTGTTTTAATTTCTTCATTTTTTTATTAACATCCTGAAAATTTTATGAAATTTATATACACATGCCAATCAATACGCATATATGCACTTTTTTGTTGAAATTTATTGAGTATGCAAATGTGACATTTTGAATAGTTGAGACTCAAATAAAAGGTTGTAACTCTTGGGAAGGGTTATTTAACAATCTATAAATAAGATTGTTGGTTTCTAGTTTGAGATATCGAAATAGGGAAATTTGTGGCGGAGGTCCCAAACTTTTCAAAAAAGCGTAACGCGATTTCAAATATTTAAATCGTAGCAGAGATATTACAAACTTTCAAAAATGTGCAGACATCTCGACGGTTTCGTCCAAAGATCCGTTAGCTGACAAAAAATTAAGCGTTTTACCGTAATTTGACTATCTTTAAAAAAGGCAAAATGGCGCGCCCATATTTTTCAACTCAACATAATTAAATAAAAAGAAACAAGAGAGTGAAAGATTCCTTACAGTAAATTACGTTGGGCCTCCAACTGCTTCTGCCTACATTTTCAACAGCCAAAAAAATTGTCTGAATAAGAGCTTAAAGAAACTTTACATGTAAGGATGTTGAAGTTGAACTATATATAATATAACAAGGAAAAGAATGATTTATTTATTGTCTGTTTTAAGACCAATATATATACCCACGGTGACATGTTTCGACCTCCACATATTAACAAATCACAAGTAAAATGATAAAGAAAGAGAAGCAGATTACGAAGAAAATCAAGTTAAACGGTTTTTATGAAAGAAACAGGAAAATGTCATGGGAAATCGAAACGGTGCATGATTTGAAGATATTCATGTAAGAAATTTACTGATTTCAACACCATTCATGACTTACTATAGTACTGGATAGATCCTCTTTCATCAACATCAAGATAACAAGATTTTTCCTTTTTGCAAATGCTGCTATTCACAGTGAACCATGAAAGCTCAAACCCATATAGAAGAGAGCCACGGATTTCTGAAAGCGAAAGATTATTCGCATCCTTAAATGGCCACGATGTCATTACTATGATATCAATACTGCACATATCTCTCACATCTGTTACATTCAAATCACCAGCCTTAACATACGTGTATCTTCGGGTTGATGAATTGGAATCATTGGAAGCATAGACCTTGTGGCTACAACGAGCAGTTTCCGAAAAGACAGAAGAATTGAAGGGATATGGGCAGCTCACAAAAGTAATAGGCAATGCTACTTCAGCTAATATTCTTGGTTTTCTTTGCTTGTAGCTGGAGATTGTATATGGAAAATTATTAGTGAAGTTGTATCGAAATAGAGAATACTGAGGAAAGGAGCAACTGTCATTTTTTAAGGCAGCATCAACAAGACGAATAGTGAAATTGTGGTAATTGATGGCTTGCACATGGTACTTATGGGAATTTAGATCAAGTGAGGTAATATTGTTATCACAAACTAGTTCGTAGCTGGAATAGCCACAGTGTTTTGGATCCTCTCTTAATCGGAAAGGGTAGCTAATATTAGGAATCCTGCCACAGGCAGAAGGGTCGCATTGGGGGTTATGGCTTGCGCTGGATGTTTGAAGTAATTGGATTAGGATCAAGGAAGATAAACATTCAAGGAGGAAGGTTTCTCCAAGCATAGCTTTCAAGATTTCTGGTCTCTCTGTGTGTGTGTGTGTTGAGGGAGGGATTCATTCAATGTTTAACGAAGATAAATTGGCATTGACGCGAGAATGTGGATAGAAACTACATAGGGAGAGCCTAGTCTTTTTCCATCTAGCGTGAATGCTTGATTCCTCCTTCCATGGAATTTGTAATCATCAGAAAAGTCAAAATAGAGTTTTGTCATCATGTCTAGTCTTGCCTAAAAGTTTCTGTTATGCTTCCTGCTAATCAATGCAGTCAATTTGAATGAAAACATCAAAGAGGAAAAGCCTGGACCACTAAGCATTTCATTGCTCAACAGTTAAATGAAATAATTATGTTGATCAAAATTTATTATCTAAGATCACATTGATAGGAGAGGAAGAGGCAGAGGCAGAGGCAGAGGCAGAGGCAGAGGCAGAGGCAGAAAAAATATATGAATTTGAAGACTAAAATGTCCATCTTCATCTGCTACAAGTTCTTCTTTTTGTTCTTTCCACTGCTTGTAGTAGGATTAGATGATTGTACAACAACCAGGTGCAGTAAAGGTGGCCCGACCATTCGGTTTCCTTTCAGGAATAAATTTCTACAGCCAGAACATTGTGGCTATCCAGGTTTCGATTTGTATTGCGACAAGAGCAAGACTGTGCTCGAACTGCCTTTTTCAGTCAAGGTGGAAGTAAAGAAAATTGATTATGCATCTCAAGAAATTCACCTACATGGTCTTGATGGATGTCTTCCTCAAAAGCTTCTGTATCTTAATTTATCAGCCTCCCCATTCCAATTCCTTGAAGATGATAGATTGTCCAACTACGTCATGTTCAATTGTACTGCAGTGGAAAGAAAGATATACAATAATATTCCTTGTCTTGGTGTCCCCGGCTACCAAGTATACTGCATTCCTTCCTATTCACACTCAGACGACTATGATTTGACTTCATGTATCAAGATTCGTGAAATTTCATCTGTTCTATGGTATACACTAGATCAACACGATCTCCATCTGAAATGGTCAGAACCATATTGTGGCAAATGTGAAGCTCAAGGAAATATTTGCAGCTTAGACACCAATAAAAGTAGAACTCAGTGTACCAACAAGCCCAAGACACATAGAAGTATACTCTCAATCCATCTTTTTCTTCAATTTTATCCATCTATCTAACAACAAATTGATCATCTTGTTAGAGCTATTTTTATATTTTAAATAGCAGGAGATAAGATTTTCACTTAATTTTCTTACAGGTGAACAAAGGGGAGATTTGATTAATGCAGGTGAATTTTTCCTTTATATTGTTCAATTTACTTCAGAAATGTTATCATCTTACTTGCTGTTAAGGTTATTATTAAAATTACTGCTCGTATCTTGTATTCTTCAGGAGCCACCTTAGGTGCTTTCCTTTCAGTGGGATCACTAGTAGTATTTTACTATGTCTATAGCTCCAGTAGAATGAAGAAAAAGAATCGGGCGACGATCGAAAAGTTTTTGGAAGATTACAGAGCTCTCAAGCCCACTAGATTCTCTTATGCAGAGATCAGAAATATTACCAATCAGTTCAGTGAAAAATTGGGTGAAGGGGGCTACGGAATTGTATATAAAGGGAAGCTGTCTAATGAAATTTATGTTGCGGTAAAGGTCCTCAACAATTTCAAGGGAAATGGGGAGGAGTTCATAAATGAAGTTGGAACAATCGGGAGAATCCACCATGTCAACGTAGTTCGTTTAGTAGGTTTTTGTGCCGACGGATTTAGAAGAGCTCTCGTGTACGAATTTCTACCAAATGACTCACTTGAAAAGTTCATCTTCCAAGCTGGTTCTAAAAGAAATGCCCTTGGTTGGAAGAAACTACAAGATATTGCTCTAGGCATAGCTAAAGGAATTGAATATCTTCACGAGGGTTGTGACCAACAGATCCTTCATTTTGACATCAAGCCACACAATATCTTGTTAGACCAAAACTTCAACACAAAGATATGTGACTTTGGTCTAGCTAAGTTGGGTGCCAAATAACAAAGCAATTCCCTTGGTTGGAAGAAGCTCCAAGATATTGCCCTAGGCATAGCAAAAGGAATTGAATATCTTCATCAGTGTTGTGACCAACAGATCCTTCATTTTGATATCAAGCCCCACAATATCTTGTTAGACCAAAACTTCAACCCAAAGATATGTGACTTTGGTCTAGCTAAGTTGGGTTCCAAAGAACAAAGTGGTGTGTCAATGACAGCTGCAAGAGGAACCATAGGCTATATTGCACCTGAGGTTTTATCAAGGAACTTCGGGAGAGTATCTTATAAGTCAGACGTTTATAGTTTCGGGATGTTATTGCTCGAAATGGTTGGAGGGAGGAAGAATAATGATCTTACAGCAAACACTAGCCAAGCGTACTTTCCCGAATGGATTTCTAATCAATTAAGTCAAGGAGAAGAGTTGCACATCCGAATAGAGGAAGATAATGATGCTACTATACTAAAAAAATTAGCTATAGTGGGGCTCTGGTGTATTCAGTGGTATCCAACAGATAGGCCATCCATGAAAAAAGTTGTTCAAATGTTGGAAGGAGATGGGGACGATCTCACCGTGCCTCCCCATCCCGTTCCCGTTACCAACGGAACAAACTCCATTGCAGGATTACATGGAAGGCCTTATCAAATCGAGTTGGCAGTCATATCAGAATCAGAATGACAAGGCAAATCTTAGTAAATCGAAGGAAATAGGATCTAGTAAACATTTCTTACTGGCTTCTTATGGGTAAATAATATTTTTCCTTCTTCATGTAGTAATAGACCGCAGCTTCTGTTGGAAAACCAAGATTCTTGAGAGACCACTTTTGTTGATGAACTAAAATGTTTAATGTATTTATCTGTTCTGTGTAATGCCAACACTTATTTCAATTTGAGTACATTAAATAATTGAATTAAACAAAGACAACTAGCAACAGCAGATTTTGAAAATTAAAGACCTTATTACCATAGCCAGTGACTGTGGAAACATTGACTCTGAAATCTTAAAGCTTTAATGCTAAGTGTAAGTCTGAAATCTTTCTTAACAGGATTCAAAACGAAGAAAAGAGTGTTGCAAAACAAGGCAAAAAGTTTACTTGGGTGCGTAAAGAATTTTGAACTTTCCACATTTAAACCAGTCGGGCTCGGGTGTAGACGGTGCTTCTTACTTTCTTCAAAATTACCACTTTCTGCACATTTACATCCAATTCAGATGCATTGGTACTTTTTCATATTATTTCCACACTTTAATTCATTTATTCATAGATTTTCCAACTACTAATTAACCATTGCAACATATATAAGAATCACTCTCCCCTATTTACAGTATTCTTGCTACCAATTAAAAAAGATAAAATACCATCCACTACAGATGGATTGATACTTTTCTAGTGACTATCCTTTTCTTCTATTTTGGACCCTTCTTATCAAACAAAGAGACAAGCGCTACCATCTTTCTTAGTGGTTTCGTGATTGATTTTAGGACAGAGACTCTACATAATAACTATCAAATAAGAGCTAATGGACACAAGATTCTGGAGGAAAAAAAATTAAAAAATCTATTCCATTTATAATTGCTTTACCAAATCCATGGATTAATAGAATCAAATCTCCAAATAAGAGGTAATATGCAGTTAGCAATTTATTTAAACTTTTTGTCTCTCTTTCTTCCTTCCTCTTGTATGTTAACGGATTATGGTTCGGTTTTAAAGCAAAAAAAATCCAAATTATTAAAACGAACTACAATACAAAGCTCTATAACAAAAAGTTAATACTAACATCCAAAATTAAAATAATAAGCCTCATTCAATACAACCAACAAAGTTCCAACTTTTTACAACTTTTTTCTGGTTCACCAAATATAAACATAATTAGTTATAAACGATTGGATTAGAACTAGGTTCTTGATTAGAAACAAAAGAGTTTCAAAGTTGTGTAAGAATCAAACCGAACTGGCTGGTTCTAGTTTGATTAGGTTGGTTCCAGTTCTTTTACCCTCCCCTGCTTGAATTCTTAATCCTCAAATCTCATCAATTTACCCATTTTCTAAAGAGGGGTACTCGCATATAAGAAGTAATGTTATTAATAGTCAGCGGCTACAGTAATCATCATATGTGACAGTTTGTTATTTGAGGTATTGTCTTGTTATTTAATGCAACATAATTATAGAAAATTAATATCTCAAATAACAAGCTGCCACATAAGATGATTATTGTAATGGCTGACTATGAATAACATTACTCTACTTATAAGTGTATAGAAACCAAATTAGAAAATAAATTACGGGAATTTCCAACTTGTGATTATGAAAATTGTACACTCAAAATTCAAATATATGTTTTTAGCTTACCTTTTAAACTCGTACACTTGAATCTCTTAATAAACAATTTCTCGATGTTTGACAGTAAAACAATCACAAATTAATCTAAAAGATAATTACAGGTAAAACTTTCAATTTTAACATCTTGATAATGCATTATTATACATGTTAAATAGACCCAAAAATTTTCAATTATAAAACATCTTGACAATTATCTAATAAAAAGACAAGTGCTACTATCTTTCTTAATGGTTTCGTGATTGACTTCTATCAGGGGACAGAGGCTCTTCTTACAGCTACAAAGAAAACGACTTAGGCCCCATTTTCAGGGTCGACGCTTCCAAACGAAGACAATGAAGGGTAAAGACTTTTCAAGCAATAAATAACACGACTATCTCAATATGTTGAAAACGAAAGATTCCCGTAACCAATGAATACACAAGTGAAGTCAAGTGTACGCTACTTCGGTGTTATTTCTCATCCTTTTACAATGAATACACCAATGAATATATGTTTTTAGCTTACCTTTTAAACTCATACACTTGAATCTCTTAATAAACAATTCCTCGACGTTTGACAGTTAAACGGTCACAAATTATTCTAAAAGATAATTATAGGTAAAACTTTCAATTTTAACATCTTGATAATGCATTATTATACATGTTAAATACACCCAAAAATTTTCAATTATAAAACATCTTGACAATTATCTAATAAAGAGACAAGTGCTACCATCTTTCTTAATGGTTCGTGATTGACTTCCATCACGGGGCAGAGACTCTTCTTACAGCTACAAAGAAACCGACTTAGGCCCCATTTTCGGGGTCGACGCTTCCAAACGAAGACAATGAAGGGTAAAGACTTTTCAAGCAATAAATAACACGACTATCTCAATATGTTGAAAACGAAAGATTCCCATAACCAATGAATACACAAGTGAAGTCAAGTGTACGCTACTTCGGTGTTATTTCTCATCCTTTTACAATGAATACACCAATGAATATATGTTTTTAGCTTACCTTTTAAACTCATACACTTGAATCTCTTAATAAACAATTCCTCGACGTTTGACAGTTAAACGGTCACAAATTATTCTAAAAGATAATTATAGGTAAAACTTTCAATTTTAACATCTTGATAATGCATTATTATACATGTTAAATACACCCAAAAATTTTCAATTATAAAACATCTTGACAATTATCTAATAAAGAGACAAGTGCTACCATCTTTCTTAATGGTTCGTGATTGACTTCCATCACGGGGCAGAGACTCTTCTTACAGCTACAAAGAAACCGACTTAGGCCCCATTTTCGGGGTCGACGCTTCCAAACGAAGACAATGAAGGGTAAAGACTTTCCAAGCAATAAATAACACGACTATCTCAATATGTTGAAAACGAGAGATTCCCATAACCAATGAATACATAAGTCAAGTCAAGTGTACGCTACTTCGGTGTTATTTCTCGTCCTATTATAATAATTATCAAATGAGGGATAATGGACACAAAATGCTAGAGAATTTAAAAGAAGAAGAATGTTCCATTGATAATTGCTTTACCAAATCCATGGATTAATAAAATCAAATTTTCCAAATAAGAGGTAGTATGCAGTTAAAACACATCCAAATTAGGAACTACGTCCTGTCATGCAAACACAATCTCTAGTCGAGTACATTAACAAGTTCAAAATGTCCTTTCCTCGAGTATATTACATTACTTAGCGACAAACAACAAAAATCTATATCTTAACTTGACAAGATATTGCGTCTCCAGAAATTACACAATCCAACAATGGTCATTAATTCCTTGGAGATTTTTAACTATTAGTCTATTACAAACCCTAAATATACTTAGCCCATATTTGGCAGGGATTACATTCAGATTTTTAGTATATTTTGATAAAAGTAGATAAAATGTATGGTTGAAAAGTTGTGAGGTTCACGAAACATATGGTTAAAATTGATAAAATATGTGGTCCACAAAAGATTGTGGTTAAAATCTGAATTTTAATCGGTATCAAATAGTGGCTTATAGTCGTGCTTGAAATTTTGTCTCCCTTGCACAAAACTTGTATATAGATAGCGATAAAGACTGAAAGATTGCGTATGAGATACATATTTAATTTAATAAATGCACTTTATTATTGAAAAATAAATAAATAAAAGAAAGATTTAATCCTGAATTTAAGTATTCTTTATTTGGATTTGGATTATTGTCTCAACAAGCTAACATAATCTCACTTTGAGCAATAGCAAGTCCGACATATATTTTTTCTTAAACATTTTCCGTGCTTGGTAACAAACATAAACACTTTCGACGTATCAAGGAGTTTCGTGCTGAAAAATCTCAATTATTTGCGCAACATATTTTCTTCATGTCATAGAAGCTCAATTAAAACACGATGTAGTTCAAATCAATCTACACAAAAGGTTAAGCTCAAATATTTAGTAAACAAAACACTCTTTTGCACATTTTACAATAGATTTGGAGTAAAAAAATATACGATATAGTAGTGGACGAAAAAAGTGTGATCAATATGCTATGTGGAATAAACAAATGTGACATATTTAAGTGAAAAAAAAGAAGCTCTCGAGAATCGAGATACAAAAGATAATTGTTAGAATTGAATAAAGATGAAAATGATCGTTTAAATATAAAATAAATACTCTTAAATATTTTTTGAATTGAAAATAAAATATTCATTGTCGTCGGTACTTGTCAATTTTTGAAAATTTTATGTGAGAATGCATAGTTCAAGAAATAGGTACGATGATTAATGAATTATCAACTTAGGTTCTTTCTTTAGTTATTGAGATGGATAAATCTCCAAGTACATGGAATTTTTTTTACAGGGGACTTACAGGTCCCTCACAAAGGGGCGAGCCCCACGTGTATAATAATAATAACAACAACAACAAGGGCTCCACTATGTGTGTTGCCTGGCAGTGACCTGTGAAAAAGGTCCTTGTACTTGCATGCATAATGCAAGAGACGAGACAACACCCTATGCACCTACTACCAAGTACTATGATAATGTGACATGATTCGATAATACGTGTTTTTCATGAAGACCGACGGTGTATTTAAAATACGAACATATAATTAAAATTTTAATTTTTTTGGATCGACCTAGACAAAATGAACTAGTAAAACTCTATTGACACTTGGCAGTTATATAAATATTCAAGAAGGCACTTGATGTATACATAATTTTCATAAAATATAATAAATGATTTTATTTAAATTATATCTTGAATTTTTTTCCATAAGTTCCGAAGTAAGTCAACTATTACTTATATTGTCGAATATTATAAAATTTACATTTTTACTAAGAAAATATTTATTTAATTTTCAAGAGCAATTTTGATGGGCTACAAAAACAATCAGCACCGGCAAAAGAACCATGAAGTGAACCAAGATGCACAACTATCTGGGCCAGGTCCGGATTAATTAACCAGCCTGCATACCGTTTAAATCCTGAGTGGGACTAATGGGAAATTTATTTTTTATTATTTTTATCATTCCAAGGTAATTTAGGAACTGCATTATATTTTATTTTCTAAAAAGACATTTAAAACAAGAGCAGAAAGAAATTGTTTATTGTTCAAAACAAATTCCTGGAGTATCTATAATTTTTAAATTTTATAAATTCAAATTGACAAAAAATGTAATATTTTCTTAAAGGCATTCTCTTAAATTTCTTTCTTCTGCGTCTGTTATCTCTACACTTGTACCCAAGGTCTTAAAGCATATACTATAATTTTGCTTTTTGCCTTCGTGGACGTGTTTTTTGTAAAGTCTAGATTCTTCTTGAGTTTTGACTTGAGCCCCTTACTGCAAATTTATACAACTTCGACCAATCTATACTATATCTTTACGTGGATCGACTAATCTACACCATATCTAAATTGACGTGGTACTTTATTCACCTTTCCAACAACAATCACAACTAATATTAAACAAGATACTGAGTAGTGTCCCGATTAAAATCCTCGTCACAATCAAGTCAAGAATGTGTTGACAATATTTGGACACAAAGTAATGAGGCTATTGGCTTGGGTTTTGTGCCATGTGATTGCAGATTTATACTCCAATAAATTCTTGAGCCCTAAATGCCTTTTATATTCACGCCACTACTGGAAAACCATAAAAAATAATTTCTCTGATGACCAAACAATGGGCAATAGACAACAGTCTTCACAAGGGGAAAACGAGAAGATATTTTTGTCAGAGTACCCTCCCAGCAAGCACGAAAATGTACTCTCGAGTCTGAGGACATCAAAAGGTAAAATTCATCTTTGTCTGATAAGTTTTGCTAAAGTGAATACCCTAAAGGCATGTTTGGTATGTATTATTTAACATAATTGTTCATTGAATATGTCCAGTATGATCGAGTCGAACATAGGATATATGTATTGTTCTGATATGAAAGAAGTGAATTTGGTGAATAGTTTGTAGGTCAAATTGTGAATTCAGATCGTGGACTGCTGGAATAGATTGTAGATGGAAAAGAGAACTTGCATATGCATCTACTACAATTTTTGCCGTAGTTACTGGTGAGTGATGTTTTGGCTCCTTCAACATGTTTGGTTGTAATTATAATCAGTGTTTTAAAATAAATCACCAAGTTAAACTTCAAGCTGAGCTTAAAAATGTGTAAAGTGAAACTAAGCAGCAAGATTAAACTTAACGCCCAAACACGCACATTTTAGAACACTAGTTACAAGTAAGTTACTTTTAAATCATCTGAGGAACATATTCAAATTTACTTTTTTTAAAAGAAATTGAAACATGTCAAGAATTCACATAATCTACTTTAATAATTTCTCATTCTTGTATAGAGAGCACTAATTCTCCAACATTTAAGCCCGTGTTTTGTTGGTGTAATTAAACAACAGATTTTTAGTAAATTTTGATAGAAATTAATAAAATGTATGATTAAAAAAAGTTGTTAATCTCGTAAAAATGTGGTAACAGTTAACTTTAACATAACTTCTTATCAAAATATTAAACCTCACCAAACAGGAAATTATTTTTTTAATGGTAGATAATAGACTGGAGCATATAGATTTTGTTATTTTGAATTGTGAATTGTACATAAATGAAGAATAACCATTTTCTCAGTTTGCTGCAACTATTTTAGATCTCTGTAAAAGATACCTTTCCTTTTCTTTTCTTTTCTTTTTCTCCTTTATTCCTTTCTTTGCAGGGGGAAAAAGAATAATTATTTCGATGTGCTTAAATTTCTGTAAAATATGAAATGCCAGAATCTCATTGCTTTTATTATGGTTTGATAAAAACATCCTTAAAAAAAAACAAAAGAGATTTACATTTTCCCTACGCAGCAAAATTACAAAATTGCAAAACATCAGGCCAGGCTGATAGACTTCCTTTAGGAGAAACAAATGATTATACTGAATGCAACCTAATTCATGAATTTTCTGCAGTTTTGAGCTTTACACAGACAAGGGACTTTGAATTCTTCTGCCTCGTCCGGATCAAACAAATAATCATACCTGTAATAAAATCAACCAAAAGAAATTGTAAGAAAACTATTTTGCATTAAATAGCTATGAATGCATGTGCACACGAGAAGAGAGACATACGTTAATTCATCGCCAGCAGACACGTTTGTCTTGGCAATAAGAACAATCCGGCTTTCATCGTCACCTACACTCATGATCCTTGCATAGCAGTTGGGCATGCACTGAGGAAAAACAAATCGACAACAGTTAAGATTGAAGAAATATATTTTGTGGAATCTCAACTTAGCCACAAATCGCAAACGATTTGTAGAAAAAACGACTAGAAACATAGGAATTCTTGATGGAAATCCCTACTATCTAGAAAAGATGAACAGAAAGATTCGTCTTGATCAAGATTTCTCCTTCCAGATGCCATGTTCTTGGGAATTGAACTGTATTTGTAATGCAAAATAGACCTGTATTGGCAATACTTACTGAATGGTTGATCAATCGTGCAATATTTCCTGCATCTGTGGCATCCACCACAACTTCTTCACTGATTTTGAATAGCTGCGCATGAAATTTTTCCCACTAAAGAAATGACTCGGGGAGAGAGAAAGGGGGTGGGGATTCCAATTTAGTTTCAGACAGAATCGTCTCACATAGCAGTCTTTGCCCTCTCTTCGATAGCGAGCTTCTCTAAGATCTGCAACACTGCGCCTAACCTGTTCCCCACGATATTCCACAACCTGGCCACAGCCAAATAGTCCACTAAGTAGTAACCTCGTGTATATGGACATGCATAAAATTTCTCCTCAAGTGAAAGGAAAAGATTTTCTTTCTGAATTTTATATGCCGTCTAAAAAGAAATAGTAGCAAACAATTACCATTTCTCCTTCTAGGATGTTTCTACGTGCAAAAAGGCCCCATCCATGTATTTCAGATCTACCAAAGCACACCCGATCCTTTTCTGTTCTCTGGAATAAAATGTACAACTAGGAAGTGAGATTCAGCTCCTTAACCAACCATTACCAGTTACCACCCACTGAACATATTAATAAAATAATACCTGTAAATGGTTCAGTCGTTCTTTGAAGGTAGAGAAGGTCTTAGGCTCCTCTATTTTCTGTTTCAGTATGGAAAAAACAAGGATTTTAGTTTTTTCTTTACTTGGGTTACAAACTAAATAAGAATTTGCACAGGATTTCCTGGTTTAACTTCAAAATAATAGATCGAAGCACATGCAAAAATTAAAACATATTTAACTTTATCGAGAAAAGGAGGGAAAAAAAGAGAAGAATGAAAAGAAGTTTACTCTGTTTGCATTCAAGGTTTGTATTGCACTTATAGAATGATGACGAGGTCCCATAATTTGGTGGGCAATGGCCTCCTCTCTTGTCAGCTGGAAAACAGATGGCACAGGAAAGATGAAAAAGTTATTTAGAGCCACTACTACTATTAAATTTACATTTGCCTGGTAATTATTAAAATGGAACTGACATGATGTTTATTTGCACTGTTACTTTTTCCAGTAATACATACAAAGAGGTTTTTATATGCCATATATTGGTTTCTAGCGCATACCCTGTTTGATGTTTTGAAGACCCGACACCTTGAAGATGAGAATGGATCGACCTCATCAAACTCAACTATTGGAGCTTCCTGGTGTTTCAACCAGCTTGATGAAATAAGCCTTGCACCGGTGTGCCTTTGGTTTTGATGAAGGCTTTTAGTCGAGAAAGTTCCTTTGGGAGTCTCTATGATTAGAACTGTATCTGGATTTGGAGCCCTTCACAAAGCACAAATGCCAAAATAGTAAGCAACATTAAGTTTCTCTAAAGGGCATAACTTAGTTTTCAAATGCCCACCAACCCCTTGTAAAAGAAGATACTGAGCATATTTCAGTAGGCTTAAAAGTTTTACAATAAAATTTTTTAATGGTCAAAGTTAGAAATAAGTAACTTATTTTGACAGTAAGGCCAAAAAGAGTAAGTTATCCAAACATTTCCAGAAACAATTTTGTTTTTGTGCATCCATAACACTAACTGTAATACCAAATTCCAAGGAGCAATACCTGTGATAGGCACAGTATGAAACCATTTTCGTGATTTGTTTACCATTCTTTTCCAGGCAATGCAACTGCAGTTCGAAAAAAAACATTTCAAATAAAGCAATGACCTCAAGTAATACACATGCGAGCACTCGTCAGAACCTAGAAGAAAAATATGTAGTTGTCTTGGCTTGTTTTAAGTTGCAAAATTTGGATTAGTGTATATGACCAAGCATCCACTTCAAAACAAAATAAGTTTGTTGACTAACATGAAACTTTGATATAAAATTGATTTTTAACCCTTAGATTTTCAGAGTTTTTGACCCTTAGATTTTTAAACTAGAGGTAGAAGTGATAATACACAACTAACCAAAAATACTAGGCAGCATACTATCAACAGACATGCAAGTCACACAAGAAAATGTTTCAGATATAAAATTGAACAGTGAGAATGAGTTATTGTTACCCATCATTGACTAAAATAAGGCAGCTCTATAATGCAATCGTTAAGAATATAAATAATAACAAATTAGTCGATGAAATCATCCTCACCTCCATACGATAACCTGCCCTCGATGCACACATTGCATGGTAATAGGTGGAACACTTGCAACACTGTGTGCAGGAACCATGAATTTGCTTGCAAACTACACAAATCTGAAATTTAAAAGTCAGCGCAAAATTCAATTGAACAACAGATAAGGGTATGTTTGATTGCAAGCATTGAACTTGAATGGAAAGAAATAAGTTCTAGGCAATTCTTATTTGCATGAAAATTGTCAATTAAATGTGTTTGATTTGCTTAATTTTCAACCTAAAAAATATTGTGCTTTTCCATAAAGTTGAGTTTTTGGAAAATGTGAATTGCCTAAAAAATAAAAACCCACACCTTAAAAAAATGTTTTCCTTGTTTTTGAGAAAAACGTGGTCATGTAACCAACTTTTGAAATATATTTTCCATGGAACAAAATGACAATCAAACACTCAAAAAGTAGGAACTTAGGTGGAAAAATGACATTTTCCATGAAAAATAAAGCTAATCAAACGCACCTTAATATCAACAGAATCCAAGGCCGGCCTCCAATAAAGAAATATATAATATAAACATTATAAAAATGAAATCATTCCATTTTTGAGTCACGTGATAACAACGATTATGGGACAATGCTACCTTCACAAAAGAGCTTGAAGGAATTCTCAAGATTCCGAGGGCAGGTTCCATCTTTTCATCACTTGCAAAAGAAACTTCAGGTTGAAACCAGGCACAAGTAACATGAACCCATAGTGGCTTAACATTTGTAGGCTTCAGCGCACCCCCTATATTACACAACACGAGTTAAAAGCTAGTCCAGAGGAATGATAACATGCTTGAGCTAATATTATACTTCAGCAATAATTGGGTATTTTCCGAACTATAAGACATTCACTCCGAATTACAAATTAGTGAATTTTGCAAAGCAACACCTGCACTCAGTTTCAAATAAACTATTCACTGTTCAGTTCAGAGGTTCTTTTCTGTATCAAATGTAGCATCTTGCCTTGCTTTTGTCCTATAATCTACGATAATCATACGGGAATAAAAAGCACGATTCAGCACATTTGAAACACAACAAACACAAATCTAATTATCCACACTTTAACCTATACGATAAGAGTATCTCAGTACCAGAATAATTTCTCTTGCTTTTCTTTTATTTCCCTTCTAATTTTTCCTTTCTAAGCTGAAGCACTTGAAGGTTGCAATTAACTTGCTTCCACCAACTCAAAATTCATCAAAACTTTGACAATATGAAGACAAGGAAATTAATGGGATCTACAGCATATCATCTATGTAATACAGTGATGAAGAGAAGGCTGAGGAATACACTATTGAAACTGTTCTATTGCAAAAGTAGACAAATAAAGTAGGATCATCAAGACTTATAAGATAGGTAAGTGACAAAATATTCATGCCTTTCACAGGACAGAGGCAGCACTCCCGCTCAATATTAGGTGTCTCACAGGCTCTACAGACCCATGAAGTAAAATCACGAACATGTCTTGCTCCATAGCATTCTTGATGCACGGCTATTTGACATCTGAGGGTAACAACGTAAAATCAGTACTATTGTTGTGGAATTCCCACTATTTATATACAATGTCTAACAAAAACAATTAAAGACATAATTAACTAATTTTTAATTTAGCTTGAAAAATGTTTCAGGATTTGTCCAATAAATACAACCTTTAAGCGATAGGAAGAAACCGGGCAACAAATTAGTTCAGCAATGAAATGTATTCTCACTCTGGTGCTTGTGTATGAACAATTAACCATTTAGTTACTTGATATTCGTAGATGTGAAATGTTATGGAAGCTGAGGGCTAGAGAAAACATTTGCTATTGGACAATTACAAAATGCTGGATCAGCCTAGATGCCCTCAGTATTGAGAGGCCAGAGTATTACCAACTCACTTGCACTGTAATTACAAAACTTCTCTTTAACTGGAAATGTTTTTGAAGTTCATATTAGATAATACCTATTGCATATAATAATCTTGTTGTAGTCCCAATCTTCAACCCATCGACACACTGCACACCTTTCTGTTGTCCACTTGGTACAGACAGGTTCATATTTTTCTATCACATTAAAGAACTGCAAAGTCAGTATATTGCATTCATGCTGCCATAGATGTGGCAACATGGAGCATCTCCCCAAATTTCTAAGTTTCAAGGGTTAGAAAATGACCTTGTAGGAAAGTAAGCAACTTCTGCTTCCGTACTTTGATAGATGGACGCTTAAGGGCTTTGGTAGGAACACCACTACGAGAATGATATTCAGCCATCTCCAGCATCTGTTAGGCCAAAAATTTCTTTTAGATGTATACATCTTCCCTCTACATATATGTATATATATCCATCCCTACATGCTCCAAGATAACAAGTTAAAAAGTAATAAAGCAAAAGGTCAGATTCAAGTACAAACCCATTGTTCAAGAGGTATCAAGGAACCTTTTACCCTGACACTAGCCTTCCAGTTTTTGGATTTGGACCCCGTATGTCGTCCCCATTCACTGAGTGGCTGTTTTTCTGTTCCACAATACCCACACTTGCAAACAACTCTGCAACAATGTGGGGGGTATAATGGTTAAAAAAAACTAGATTATTGATGCCAGCAAATGAAAAACACCCTGAATACTTGTAAATATATCCAGAAGCCATGGGTGTTAATGCTTACAGATGAAGACTTGGAAAATAAATTCCATCAATGCCAGAGCACACAACAGCAACCTTGTTAGGCAGTACAAAGTTACCGTTCTTTTTGTTCTCTCTGTATCAACAAATTGCGTTATTATTAGATATTTGGAAGTAATACATCAATTTTCTGGCGAATTACAAATAAACATTTTCAAGCTAAATGAATAAACTGCTTACTTAGCTTTAGTCTGTTTGTTATCTGAATCAGATAATTCAAAATTGAACCTTGCTTTGCATTCAGGGCAATAATAATCAATGGTTCCCAGATCCTAGCACAGGGAAACATTTTATGACTAAACAAGTTTAATTTATATACTGTACATAGATTTATATGTAGGAATACATATGATGAGTGGAAAAAAAATGGAGATGGGACATGAGAAGACCTCCAAATCGTTTGTTGAGAATTTGTCACACTCTGCATGGACCCAAACTTTACATCCATTACAGCGCACCTAATTCAATGAAACTTATTATAACAAAAATATTGCAAGTGTAAGAGTCATATATACTTGAGAAATCAAAAAGAAGGATAGAAGAAAAGATTATCCCACCCAAGTCCTGCTATCCAATTGGTTCTTAATCTCTTTGCATATGCCACAATAATGTTTCATTTTTTTCAACTGAAACAGATAACAAGCAATCGTTAGTTCTCAAAAGTTTCCAACATGGAACGATGTTTAATGATGAATTGGACCACGAAAACATTTCTAGGCAAGCCAAGTAACAAACCCTTGCACAAGAAGTACACAAACGATTGGTTCCTGCAGGTCGATCATTCAGAATCCTAGACACATTAGGAGGCATGCTCAAGCCACAGGCTTCACATGATTGTGTTCCTGTCTTTCTAAATGTTTCCTGCACAAGGAAATAAATTAAATCATTTCCAATACCAAGAAGGTTATCCTTTTATTTGCTTTTTCTGAATTTGATGTAATGGAAAGTTGAAAATGATAAGTTTTCGATAGGGGAAGGAAACTGTAATTCATGTTGTTCACAACTTTCAGCCAATCATAGCATCATTTTGTTCACAACTTTCACCGAGAAACATCAGAAAACAATGTAGAAGTTACTGGTAAACCCCTGTTACAAATCCATGTTCCAACAAGAGAAATAAATAAACCCATTAATGACCTGTTTTGGAGAGTTGCAACTTTGATCCTGATTGGAATCAGAAACCTCAACAACTCCTCTTGTAAAAGAATGGAAGTAATCCAAGTTGCCCGCTGCTGCATTAATTTCGACCATCAACATCTCACTGAAGCCACTTTCAGCCAAAAATGCCTCCTCTATAGCAGAGCGGAGATCACTAGGCTTGCTATCATTCAATTCCGTCTGCCCCTGAAACCTGTACCAACCAAGTTTCAACATGATCCCAACTTCACAAACACAACAAATTTAATAAAGAACCAAAAAAGAAGAAATAACAAACAAACTTCAATACGCACCTGTCTACATAGTCTATAAATGGAAATATCTTGCCACACTTAATCCAAGCATAATCCTGTTCATAACAGGAACAAAACAGAAGCATTTACTCTCATCAAACTTATTTAAGGCCAACAAAACCTCAGTTAAATGCATTACATTGGGCAAAGAAACTTATGATAGAAAATAGTATGTATTACCCTTTGTGTTCCGTTCCCTGAGTAACCGAAAAACATTACACAAACTGCACCAGCAACCCGAAAATTTAAAACTTGCTGGGGAACTTGCTTCTGATTAAGCACAATGGCAGGCCAAGCAGGGCATTGCTTCCCAGTTATTGCCCAAACTATATCACCATCGGCAAAATCCTCGGGTCGGTATAATTTATCAATGCCACTTAAATCTAAACCCTCCTCCAACTCATCATCATCCACAAACTGATCGTATAATGTTGTCACCGAACTCAGCGAACTAGAATTCGTCCTAAAGTCGAGACTTTTCAACCCATCAGACCTCAATTCCTCTATCTCATTCTCTGACAATGGAGAGAATCTCCGACATTGGTACCGAATCTTGTCCTCATTTCGCTTCTTATTAGTTGCAGCACCACCCGAGATTCTTGGGGTTTTGAAGTTGAATTTATCCTCTTCTTTAATTGGCGTCAATTCCCGGCCGGAAGTCGAGTCTTTTATTGTACTTTTACTCTTTTCTTTCTTCCAATCATCAAGGATTGAATCATTGAATCGAGACGGAAGCGCCTGAACCCGTCCCCGGGAAGTTCTCACCAGTGGCGGCCGTGCAGGCTCTTTCTGTTTCGGCTCCCGGCTGCTGGGGCAACAAGAAGTCTCCGTATATAATGACGCTTCCTCCGCGGTGGCGGCGGAGGAAGAGACGATTCGCTGAATTCCATAGCTTTTGAACGGAATTATGCCGGCGGCGGCCTCTCCAAGAAGGTGTAAAGGGTAATACCCGTTGGCAGATTTCCGTTTCTTCCTATTCCCCGATGATGACTCATCGTCCTCACCTCCCGAGTCGCCGACTCGGCAACGCTTCAAACTAGGCATTACAGATTTCAAGTTTTTCTTGATGATCATCCTCCTCTCAAACACCCAATTTCACTCCCTGCGAAACCCTAATTTCTCAATTCAATGATCTCCCAACACCACAGGAAAAAAAATCCACATGCAAATCAGAGAAAAAAATTCGGCCCCAAATCAAGAATTGATTTTTAATGCTGGAAAATAACAAATTTTGTTTAAAAGAGAGAAAAGAATAAGCCAATTTCGATATTCAGAAGAGGTTATGCGAATAGGGATCTCTGTTTCAAGAGCTCTCTTTCTCTCTCTAAAAGCTCTGTGACTCGATGAGAGAGATGGACACACATAATTGTATAATATGTAATATGTATATGTGTGTGTATATATATTGCAGCCTATGCGGAAGTGTGATACCTTGCATGTGAATATAATAAAAATTAAAGAAAAAATGGGAGTCCAATTTTGGTGCGGAATTTAGTTTTCTTTCGGAAAGATTGATGTATAGATACAGGGGGCGTGAATGTATAGGCAGCGATAGAAGTGTAAATAAGTTGAGAAGAGGAAGGAATATGATAGAAAATGTACATAGCTTAGTGCTAAATTGCACCAGACGTGTTGAGCACCCAATGTAGGCATGGTGCAATTTACAGACATGGCATTCGAAGCAAAGCATTCTGGTTTTTTAAGGTTGTTCATTATTTTTATTTTTATTTTTATGTTGTTTTTGCAGAGGTTGGCTGGAGAAAAGTGGGCTCCATGAAACTTGGAAGGAAAAATTGTTACGTATAAATAAATTTTTCTCTGCAGTTTTATGAAATTTTATGAAAAAAGAAGAACCGAATGAGCCCAACCTATAGGAGGGAGGTCTACGAAAGAATTATTTTAGCCGAGGTTTGGATATTACATCGATTGTTTAGGTTGGAATTCTAGAGACAAAAGATGAAGAGATTATGTATTTTAGATTACGAAATTGAAAATTCTATGTAGCATGTACCTTTTGAGAAATGATTAAGGATGGACTTTCCCGGTCGGGAGGTGAGAAAGAAGGCACTGTAGGGGTGATAAAATGGTGGTTTAGTTGTTCAAAGTGCCTTCCGGGATGGCTGCAGGGACGTCAATGGTGGGTGGCAGCGATCGGGGGACGGGTTACGGGTAGGAGAGGCAGGGAAACTTCTTGATTTGTGGGAGGAGGAGGAGGAGGTGGTGGAGAAGGCGGCTCCACCTTGGCCGGTGGTGGCCCTGACGGGTTTTTCTTAGACATATCTGAAAGACCCAAAATGGAGTGATAAAAAATCATTGAAGTTTGAGGTAGTTGTCTAAGGTTGTGGGCGGATTGCATTGAAACCTTTGTTTCTAAGAAATTCAATACCTTAAAATGGTTTCAACTTTTAAGTGCTAGTGTTCTCTTTACCCGATAGCGGGCCATGACAAATGAAAAACAGAAAAGGGGTGACTTGAATTTACGTTGTCACATTCCGGTGGTTGACGAGAGAATGGATTGGAAGTGCAGCTTTTCAATGCCCCACATGTTATTACCACGGGCGAGGGGAGGAGGGCAAATTTGTCTTTATGTGCTCACAAATAGCAACTAGGAATTATTATTTACTCGTTGAGAGAGTGTTTGACATTCAGTTTTAGTCCTACAATTCCACAAAATCATAAATAGTGTATTTGATTGAATCTCGTACAACAAGTTTAGTTAAGTAATACATAACGCATACGCCATCCACTAGACGAGAAAGATGAACTTTGTACCTAATATGTTGATAAAGTTATGAGTAGTTTTTTTTTTTTTTTTTGGCTATTTGATGATACATGTAAGAAATGTTGACGTGTTCTCTTAATAATTACATTATTATTGGCTTCCAAGGATTTATTTTGCTGCAAACACACTTATTAGCAAACTCTTTGCTCTTTGTACAATCAAACCTCCATGTATCATCCAATCAAGTACACCAACCATGTTATTAAGCACCCGTTTCGACAACCGTACTTTTGGAAGAAAAAAAAAATTTTGAATAATGATTTTTAAAAGAATGTGTGGTTAAAAAGTAGAGAAAAGTATTGAGTTTACATGCAAAATATTTTATTGTGTGAATATTTGATTGAAATGAATATGTAGTAAAATAGTTTGAAAAGTGTGGTAGTCAAACGGGGACAAAAGTATGTTTGGTGGATCGATATAGTTAATGATAAAAAATGTGTAACTTCAGTGAAAAATTGTCGAATTTTCAATCTAAAAATTGTTGATTTACCACTTCTCTTCCAGTTTCTCATGCATTGCTCAAAGGGATTTGAATGGCAGAATTCATTAAATTGACATGAAAATTACTCTTAATCGTTATTAAGCAAGCAATATATACACTTTATTTGAACACTTCACCTACTAAGGAGATTACAGCAACTAAAAAGAGACATCTAGCTTCCAAGCATTAAGAACCAGCTTACTGAGTCAACCCGGAGCCTAATCATGTCATCAACAAACCAGCTAATATTACCGTTGATTTCTTTCTTCATATCAACAGGTCCATCGATGTCTTACTTCATATCATCCGGTGTATTGACTACCTTTCTGCATTTCTTCTCACTCGTTAAGAGTTATATATTCTTGCAACCATCTACTTAATCCGTCTTTGCAAATCTTCCACGGATTCTTGGCTGGGTATCAGCCAGAGCCTTCCTGCAAGCATACTGAATCAAAGAACACCATAAGCATAGTCCAAATTTATGATCTACTTCGGGTAAAGCGCGAGTTCATTAATGAGGTCCATAACTAAATAATTTGATGGAAACTACGTACTATTGGAGCATGTTCGCAGTTCTTAAAGGTAAAATCTTGATCTTCCTCAGTTTGAGGTCAGATGGTAGCAAAAAGTGTAACAAAAATAGTGGAAAAAGCATTACAACTCACCTTGATTTTCCTGCCATAATTCCTTTTCGACTTCTTACTCCTGTATCTCGAGAGCTTTTCCTTACGATCTTCAGAAGTGCAGCTGCTAATAATTTTAGGTTGCGTCGCGAGGTTTATATTACCATTGCCAAGAGTCTGTCATAAAAACTCAGTATCAGTGACTGTCCTATCCTGTCGAAGAGGCCAGAAACATCTAAACATTTTTCAGATCGAGTTTGTCATGGAACCATTAATTGCATGGGGCACATTCACGAACACGTTTACAAAGAACTAATCATTTAAAAGTACTCAAAACCCTAATCAACAAGTTTTCTCTAGCTTTTAGCCCTTTATAATGAGGAACAGAAGATCTTATCCAGATGATATATGATAAATCTACAAGAAGCACGCCGCATATTTAATCGAATTTAGTAGTCTCAGAGCATTTGAAAAATGAGTCAACAAACAATGGTAAGAAAAAAGCATAGAGTAATCAGACCTGACCTCTATGTCTCCTTCACTGAATGCTCTTCGCATCCCATAAACAGCCCCAAAGTCCATACCCAGGAAATCAAGAAAATTTGGCCTCGTTAGAGCCTCATGCATGTGTTCCATCGACTTTAGACAGCTAGAACTAACACTTTTCTGGAACTGACTCTCAGAAAGCAATTTTGCATCAGCAATCGTCTTTTCATCCGTCTTTAAAGTAGGAACTTTGATATCCAGGACTTCTGAGATTGGCGTTTTGTTTGCTTCCTTTTCCAAAAGATCCTTGTTGCATTCATAGAAAACCTCACTGATGAGTAGCCCATTCTCGATTGATGATTCAATATCCGATACCGACATTGCTTGTGTGGAGATGACATCTTCTCCACATGAAATCATTGAAATCACAGCTGACATTGGATCGAGGCCCATCATCAGTTCTTCGATTACTGGTTCAGGGGCCTTGAAGAGATCCCCTTCTCCCCCAAGGTTGTAATCCGATATAGTAGATGTCTGAATGAGGTTGCCCTGTATGCCCTCCATTAAGATCAAAATTAAAAGCTCAGCAGTCTTAAAATGATTTATGCATTTTCTTCCTACAAGTAGTTATACGCATTTTCTTCTACAAGTAATTAAGAGTGTAAATGAAAATTCTTATATCCCTACACATTATTTCTCATAAAGGAAAGATGTCAATTATGCAAGAAAATGTGTTATTTGAGAGACTAGAGTAAACAACTTTCCTCGGAGGATAAAATGTTGACAGAAAATCATTCCCTCGAGCAAATTCTACATGTTGCAAAACTTGGCTTTTTAAAACTTATCGCAAAATTCATCTTTCCGATCTAGACAAAAAAGAAGGTAATGAACATTTGCAACTACATCAGCCACTAGAATTTGTCTATTATGATATTACCCTAAATTGTCATCAATGATCGATGCGTTCAAAATATCTAAAGTCGTCATTTCCTATACCAGGTCAAATTTCCATACAGAAAAATTCGCACTTGTATAAAGTTCAATGACTAATAAGCTAATGCTATAAGCTGCCATTAATATCACTTGAAGTAACCAGGAATCAACCATTGAGCAAACAAAAAGCCCAAGAGATCAAGATTTTTCTTTAAAGGGAAATATGCTTTTCCAATTGGGAATTCCACAAAGATCTATAGAATAACAACCATAAAGGGGTGGCTAAGCTTTTGCTTTTCTCCCACCTTTCCATCCTAATATCAGTAAGTGCAGAGTGTACCTTTAACAACTTGACAGCACAATGAACAAGCAAAACAATTCTCGATAAATTTGGGGCGATTACATTAACCTATTTTCTCAATTCCGTTTGGCTCAAACAACTAGGCATTAAAAAAAAATAAAAAATAAAAGCAAAAGATTATCTTGCAGCCAAGAATATAAGTAGGTGGAGAGTGGCAGATATGTCTTTTATGTGGAAAATGATGGAAGTAGAAGAAGTAGAAAATAAGTAAAGAACGCCGAACTAATGGTTACGATAATAGATTTTCCAAATTTTTTTCTTCTATAAATAGATCCCAAAACATAAAGAAAATTCATGAACTTTCCATATATAGCCATAGAAAAAAAAATGGAATATATAGAAGAAAGATTTCAATTGCCCTTTTCTCCTCCACTAAAGTCAATCTACAAAGCAGCCAAATGAGAATTC